CCTTAATGAATTAATTTGGTAAATGCTTGACATCTTTCTTTAGTGTGTCATACAGAGGTGATGCTATTCCTGAGAAATTTGGAACAAACTTTCTTTAATAACTTGTCAAACCAATAAAATGCAAACATCGTGAACATTCTTGGGCTGTTGAATTTTGGTGACAGCATTAATCTTGGGTTGATCTACCCCAATACCTTTTTTGCTGAAGATGTGACCTAAGTATTGTTGTTGCTTGGCAGCGAACTTACATTTACTAGGTTTGAGGGTCAGGCCTGCTTGTTTGCATTTTTTTAGACCAAAAGGTAGATGGTTCCATTCAAAAACACGATCTGGCATAATAAAGGCGGATTTGTGTCTTGTTTCTTGGTGCAGTGGGATTTCCCAAAAGCCACTTGCACAATCTAAAAAAACTAAAGATTTTAGCATGGCTTTCTCCAACGGGATCGATGACATCTTCAAAACGGGGGAGGGACAAAAATATTGGCTTGGTTGCAGCATTCGGGCAGCAATAATCTACGGCAAAACGGTAGGTGTGGTCCTTCTTTTTGACCATAACAACAGGTGAGTGCCACTCAGATGAACTGGGCCTAATGATTTTGGCTTCTAAAATTTCCTTAATTTGACGTGAGCACTCTTTTCTTACTTCTACATTTTGTCTATGGAAAGGAAGCCTTATAGGTGTAGCATCACCTGTTTCTATTTTATGTTGATGAAGGTGTGTTTTGCCTAACTCAGTCCAGTTTTGAGCAAAAACAGAGTGTTGAGTGGTAAGAAAAGTTCTGATGGGGTGGATGTTTTCTAGATGATGGTGGTTGTGAATGCATGGCTGTTTTGTGTGTATTATGGTTGTCCTGGTGTGACCTGTGTGTTGGGGTTGACCTACTGGTGTCCTGATGTGACCTATGATTTGAGGTTCACCTATTGGTGTCCTGATGTGACCTGTGTGTTGGGTTCACCTATTGGTGTCCTGATGTGGCCTATGATTTGAGGTTGACCTATGGTGTCCTGATGTGACCTATGATTTGAGGTTGACCTACTGGTGTCCTGATGTGACCTATGATTTTAGGTTGACCTACTTGTGTCCTGATGTGACCTACGATTTGAGGTTGACCTACTTGTGTCCTGATGTGACCTATGATTTGAGGTTGACCTACTTGTGTCCTGATGTGACCTATGATTTGAGGTTGACCTACTGGTGTTCTGATGTGACCTATGAGTTGGGGTTAACCTATTGTTTTGATGTGACCAATGTGCATTGTGACCTGAGCTTGTGCTGCTGTGTGAGCTATGGAAGAAGGGTCTGTTAACGTTGCCTTGAGGAGCACTGACAGGAGGGGAATTGGGTTCTGGATTAGGGGTGTCTGGGAGAGTAAAAACGTCAGAACAATCTACCTCTGATGCAATTGCTAGCACTCTTTTGGAATTCAAATGCACTTTAGATATGCCAGGGTTAAGGAGACGCATGTAAACTCAGTCCAGTTTTGAGCAAAAACAGAGTGTTGAGTGGTAAGAAAAGTTCTGATGGGGGTGGATGTTTTCTAGATGATGGTGGTTGTGAATGCATGGCTGTTTTGTGTGTATTATGGTTGTCCTGGTGTGACCTGTGTGTTGGGGTTGACCTACTGGTGTCCTGATGTGACCTATGATTTGAGGTTCACCTACTGGTGTCCTGATGTGACCTATGATTTGAGGTTCACCTATTGGTGTCCTGATGTGACCTGTGTGTTGGGTTGACCTACTGGTGTCCTGATGTGACCTATGATTTGAGGTTGACCTATGGTGTCCTGATGTGACCTATGATTTGAGGTTGACCTACTGGTGTCCTGATGTGACCTATGATTTTAGGTTGACCTACTTGTGTCCTGATGTGACCTACGATTTGAGGTTGACCTACTTGTGTCCTGATGTGACCTATGATTTGAGGTTGACCTACTTGTGTCCTGATGTGACCTATGATTTGAGGTTGACCTACTGGTGTTCTGATGTGACCTATGAGTTGGGGTTAACCTATTGTTTTGATGTGACCAATGTGCATTGTGACCTGAGCTTGTGCTGCTGTGTGAGCTATGGAAGAAGGGTCTGTTAACGTTGCCTTGAGGAGCACTGACAGGAGGGGAATTGGGTTCTGGATTAGGGGTGTCTGGGAGAGTAAAAACGTCAGAACAATCTACCTCTGATGCAATTGCTAGCACTCTTTTGGAATTCAAATGCACTTCAGATATGCCAGGGTTAAGAAGACGCATGTAGACCGCCTTTTTGGAACTTGTTACCAAATACCTACCACTTTGAAGTTTAGTTGGGAAAAAGCTGGGACTGGTTCTAAAAGGAAAATGGATCCTGGTCCACAGCGAGAAATGTGTACAGGGATATCAACTTGACATAGGGGAGGAATGACTGTGGGTTTTGGCATCTAGCATGGCCTGCGGTGGTTTCAGTTAAGGGGACTGAGATTAGACCTTCTTGAATCACCAAAGTTCTGTCAAGTAACGACACAGTTGCTTTGTTGGTTTCAAGAAAGTCCATACCAAGTATAAGGGAATGATTGAGTTTTTCAAATACATAAAAAGATTGGGTTAGAGTAAGGTGTCCTAAGGTAAGGTCTAAAGGAATGCTACCTTAAACAGAGTGGTATTCACCGCCTACACCTCTGATTTTTGATAAATCTGCTGGTTTTAGGTGTTCATGTGTGTAGCCTGATTTCTGCAGAAAGGCCATGTTGACACATGAGATACAGGCACAGGTATCAACAAGACCTGTTGTCTTCGCTTGCTTCACCTTAACAGGCACACTGTTCTTTATTAAGGGTGCCACAAGCAAGACCATGGGTTTCTGTTGCCTGACTGCAGATTTCCAAGAGCAAGGCACGAGTCCCTATTGTGTAGGACAGGCATTCTGAGAATGCTGTGCCCTCATGCAAACCCTAGCATTGTCACCTATTCTTTGGCAATGTGGAAATGTGGGCATGATGAATGGGTTGAGCAGTAGTTACGACATCCACAGAAAGGCTGTGACTGGTAGTGCTGAGGCTGGACCATCCGTCCTGAGGACTGTTGGTGGCGGTATGATGAGGGTTGGGTCTGTGTGCTCCCATAAGGTCGGTTTTCTCTTGGCAGGTGACGAATGGAGGGAAGCTGAAACTGGACTTGGGGCTGATGCGGCGCTGCCGGGCTGGAACGGGAGCCTGGTACTGTTGTGACCTGGACAGCTGGGGTCTCTGACTTGGTGATTAATGTGGCCACAAGACTTGACAGCTGCTCCACCTTCTCGACCATGCCGACGTCAAGGGCAGACGTCTTCAATGCTGGTGGGCTCCTTGTTGAACACCCATTGTCGTGTGTCAGGACGAAGGCACTTGACAGCCACAGCAACGATCACTGTTGTTGGGAGCTCCTGGTTCCTGGTTGCTGCCTGGACTCTGGTGATGAAAGCAGCAATTGGCTCGTCAGACCTTTGGGACAACCGAAGAAGGCCCATGTCAAAGATGTTTGATTTGCCAAACCTGGTTTTGAAGGCTGGCCCAATCTTGGTGATATCGTTCCTGTCGTCTGCTGGTAGATCTTGAAGCCATATCTTTGCTGTTCCCTCCAGGTAGAAATGGATCAGACGACCCTGTTTCTGGGCATCAAAATTGAACAGGGTGACAAAGTTTTGAAAATCTTGCCACCAAGAATTAGCATCCTCTGATCCGGTAAATGGCTGGAGTTTGACATGAGGCGTTGCCATGCTATCTTGATGTTGAGCAGATGAGTTGGGACCGGATGCAGTTGAGGCAACTATGGGGTGACTGAGGTTGTTCTCGGCCCGGAAACGGCTGCAGTTCTTGATGTCGCTTGCTGCAGGAGTCGTCAGTGATGGCGGGTTTTCGGTATGAATCACTTGAGTCTCGAGCAAACTGTTTAAGTTTAACCTTGGCTCCTGACCCCTTAGCTTCTGTCTGTAGTTTAAAAGCGTGGCACCGGCCTTCTAGGATTCGTCCTCCTCCATATGAAGTCGTGCTTGGTTTATATTTATACTTAAGTAATGAAATCATAAACATTACACCTTTCTTGAATGGAGCGTCCTTTACATTAAATACGGTGCGCCCGTACGATATTGATTGGCATTAACTGCTGTTACCCAATGTATGGTAAATTCCGCAACAGTTACAGATGAGCAATGATATATTTGACAAATAAATATCTTTGGACCAGTTCAAAATATGGATTGATATACAGCTACTCCATGACTGTTAATAAAAGACTATGTGACATCGGTAGAACGCACTGAGATTGCCTACGGTACGTCACAAGTAAGTCATTGATATGTGGACTAGCTGTACTGATCAGTGTGGCAGCATGCTAATGAGCCGGTCGGCCTTTATAAACTGTTTATTTTATATTTTAACTTTGTAAACAGTTTCCGTTGCATTGTTGCACAGATTCTACAGCGTTAGCGTTTATTCGTTAAACCCGCTGATGTGCTTTAACTGGTAATGAAAACAAAGTCACTACCTGTATCATAACAACTCACTAAGTTGTTAACGGGCTCAATATTTGAAATCTGCAAATCCCGGTTCTTTTATGAACTAGCCTACAACACACATACACTAAGTTTCGTAGTTTTCAAATGATTGCTATCTACCGGATATTTTCCGAATTGCTAATTCACGATAGTGAACGACAGTAGCGTGTATGAAATGGAAATTATATATTCACTTGTTGCTAATGATGTACGCATTTAGTCACCATAACTTAACGTTCAACTATTTCTTCTAAACATATGCAGTCACAACTTAGTTACCTAAGAATACAATATCTACGAAAACAACTAGTCACAATATAAAACATATACTTGCACTGACTTGGTTTTGGTTTTCGACAATATGTGATGGTAAAACGTCTGATTTGAAGTAAACTAATAACTCTATTCGTCAGGCAGGAATTGTACATGAAGCTGAACAGTGCAGTGACACCGGAAAGTATGGATATAGCTAATGATTCATGTTATAAAACATATTGCATTATATTTGAAAGTCCGTTTACTGGCGGCGCACTACGACGAATTTACATGTATATTACAGTATGAATATTACAGTATTACAGTATGAATATTACAGTAAGTTCCAAATTAGCGACTTAAACATATTCTCGCCGAGTGTAACATATACACATTCAAATTACAGAACGCACGTATACATACATTGTTATCGGATAATTAATAAACTTCAGGACACATATTACGCTAGCGTAGAAAATTATAAAAGCCTAACTTGGAAACCACGCCTGTAGTACTCAGCCGAATTAGATGTTATATACAAGTCTAGTAATCTTACAACGCGTCGGAATACAGAACTACCGTAGTAGATGATGCCAAGTTACATTAGTTATAACCGCGCGGCCAAGGTATAAAGTTAGAATATAAATTTGACAATGTGCAGAACTAGGTTCATTGTTCAAGCAAGATACAAATAAGGCACATTTTAAGCAAAAATATGAAAATAGCAAAGTAAATATGGCTTACCTTGACACAAACAGAAGGATTCCAGGGTCTGATGCATGTCTCAGACCATGGTGCTAATATAGCTGAACCCTCTGCTTGTATGATATAACTAATTTCCCTAATATGGAGACGACGCTTTACCTATCTTTTGAAGAGTTGTGCCTTCGAAATATTACTCAATTGTGGCAGATAGCTTCAGAGAGTATAATTGCTTTTGCTATGTGTTGTCTGAAGAGTTGAGTAATAACCAGTAATGTATGTGCTAACAGGCGTGAATATTTGACCATTAAGCTGTGGCCGGAGCGGTCACTACATACACTAGAGTGTATACTCAATTAAGCTTTTAGCGGCGTGTCAGCACAGACAGCCGTCAGCTTTGCAAGATATATGCCAATAACAAGTCTGGAATTACATGAATACTTTAACAAAATGTAAGAGATATAAACTCGACTTAGTTGAGAAATATCTGAATAATGTTAGATACAAATATGCACATTTTGTAACTGTTATAGTATCCCAAACCCTGCTGTAACGATAAGAACCTTATATTGAATTATATTAAATCAACCATGATATCATGTCAATCCATATTAAGTATTTAGTTTTCAGTAAGATAACCCCAAAAAGAAAGGAATTTCTACTTTAGATGATCCATGGGGATTCATACTTAGGGGATACATTTGTACATATCCATCCACAAAGGAACACCTCAGTGACTATACAGACAAATAACCCTACTTGAATATATGAGCGAAGAACACACACACACACACACACACACACACACACACACACACACACACACACACACACACACACATGGAAAACAATACCACACATTTTCATAGTATCTATATGTTACCATTAACTTATGTATCCTTCATTTAACTTACTGTTAGGATAAATTGACCTCAATGAATAATTACATAGCAAATCTAAAACCAAAGAGACCGAAAGACTGTAGTTTATTTGTAGAGGCTAACATGGGTAAACTTGACTCATTTTGTAGTGCTGATAACTATGGTCGTATGTCGTTAGTAAGTGTGATCATTTTACAAGATTCGGGCATACAATCCTCACGAAATCACATAGGCAATAATAAACGTAAATGGTATTGCGTTCCATTCCACGTCGAACTGGACTATAATCCAGGCATGCTACTTTGTGCTCTGAGAATATCAGATAATAACAGATAACAGATCTGATAGATTGTCTTGCTCTACACCCAGTCAATTGTACGCGATTTGGGGCCGTTCTGCTGTGGCGGCCACTTGGCAAGAATGTAAGAATTCTTTTGAATCTGAGACAGGTTTACCCTCCCCTGGAGGCCGACATGAACGCTGACAGACCTTAACATCATTATGATTTCTGGCAAATCGTCTGATGGCCAAAGGATCTCATCCAACTAGCCCTCAATGACATGCCAGCTTTCAGCATACCAATAGCGTGCCATTTTTGTCAGTTGAGGAGGCCCATATTTGCTTATCAACAAGGAAATCAATTCTTGTCGAGCTGTAAGAACAGTTTACTGAAACTTGATATTTGCCTATTGACGGTTCGCCATAAGCACGCACGCACCCTTCAGTGGTTCTCTTTATATAACTGCACGCATCTTGAACAGTAAACCGAAATCTGTTGTGACTTTATGCAGACTGTGATTATTGCAGAGATAACGAAACCTTAGGTCAAACAAGTAATTCGATTCCCGCCCGACATGGGAATTGAGCAGCCGGGAGAGAGAGGTGCGCTAAGTTGACTCACACTGTTATTGGCTGTTACCTCTGGACAGAGAGAATACAATTGTTCTAGGCTAGAGAGGGAGACAAATCTCTCTACACTACTGCAAGGTAGCGTGTCTTATCTGCTTGTTGGGTCCTCAGTAGCCATGCCTGTATAAGATTAGTACAACTATGGTGTATGGACGAGTTAATATGGCGATTCAAAGTAAATCTGCACATGTTTTCGTAAAAAGATATTTCGCAAGAAAATACATTGAATACATCCGATAACTATGATTCAGTTTTGAGGCACTGAATCTTACGAGGTACATGTCCATCGTGTATTTTTGACAGCAACGTTTCTCATAAACAAAGTCAGCGATGGGTTATGATGAACAAAAAACAACTGCTATATAACAGGAGCGACACATTTATGTAGCACACAATGTTTATGCTCTGAACGTGTAGTTGAGATCTTGCAGGTTCTTTACTTTCCATAATGAAACTTTGAAAGAAAAAGTATATTCCCGTCTCTCCCGTAGAACTGTAAAATAACTGCAGTATATGCTAACAACTACGTATCGATAACTCACAGTATGGCTGCTCAGAATGTGTTGCTGTAATTTGGGGAAAAATATTGCAAATAAATCAGAGTTTAAGGTTTTAGGATTTTGATAAGTTGAATGGATGCTTCAAATGTTACCAAGTTACTTCTATGTTACCACGTCTTCAGTCTGTTTCCAATCAGCCCTTTAACCAGCTGTTATTGAAGAATTTGTTTCATGACAACTTTCATGGCACATGAAAGATATTTCCAGCCATTTCATATGTGTGTAGCCGTGCTAATAGGTAGCACTGTAACGTGTCTTTACTGTGACTGATATATTGAATATGAACCACAATCATTACGCTAAGATGTTGACTGTCCCGATTAGTATGTCAGTGCCTGATTTACAAAACTACACTAACCCCATTATGTATATCGTGTTAATTCAAACACCTACAATGATACCAAAAATAATAAAGAGTTTAATCGAACAAACCTTTGTCAATGTTTCTTGAAAACATTCCTTTAGGCATACCCATGGCATTCCCATGGCATGCCCATGGGCACCAACTGTGCCCCCGTCCTTGTGGGTCTGTTTATGCATATGAATCAGAATTTCTGCTTGGGTTGGAAACATCAAAACGAGGTAATTTGGCCAAGAAGTTTAACTTAAGCTTCACTCATATCGATGATCTGATATCGTTCAATTGCTATCAAATAACCAATTCCCTTCTGATTTATCCCTAGGGGCGGTGGGGTAGCCTAGTGGTTAAAGCGTTGGCTCGTCAAGCCGAAGACCCGGGTTCGAATCCCCACATAGGTACAATGTGTGAAGCCCATTTCTGGTGTCCCCCGCCGTGATGTTGCTGGAATATTGCTAAAACCAAAACTCAGTCAGTCAGTCTGATTTATCAACCTGAACTTAAGGAGACAAGTTAGACCGTCTCAGCTGTTTCATATTTAGATCTCTCCACAAGGCTGTATGATAAATTGGGTGTTTTCAACTTCCTAAAAGTCGACTTTCCTTTCATGTCGAACAATATTCCAACAGCTCCAGCCTTTGGTGTTTTCATTTCACAACTTTTGAGAATGCTCTTTTTACCAACATTTCAAAGCGCGTCATACCACACTTGCTAAGATGTTGTTTGATCAAACTTACAACATTCAAGGTCTCAGTAAAGCTTTCTAAAGGTTTTATGGATGCATCAGTGATAAAGATGATGTCCCATGCAATTCCCTATTTTGTAATGTACCATACGTTCCCGACTTATTTCAGCTGAACAATTGAGTAGGCTTTGCATATTTTTATGACGGGTGCCGCCGGTGGGGTAGGATAAACTCACCTTTCGCGATCGTATTATCACTATTTCATAGTGATTCATAAACATATGCTCTGTCATCGTATCGCATGTTGACAATCATTGGATTGTCTTGTCCAGACTCGATTTGTTTACAAACAACATCGTACAGCTGTAATAATATCTGTTCATGATATAGTTACAATTGTACAATGGACTCGTATAGCAGAGATTTCTTATGAATGTGGGTTCTGTCGCTTTCTATTTCAAATGCCTTTGTGAGTTGTCAGTCCAGATTTGAAGAGGTCATTATGTGACGATGTCGCACTGGCCAGACTAGATATACCTATTAGAAAAGGTGGCAGAGGATCCTCCTTTTTATATCTCTTGTGATGAAATAATCACGGTCAAGCATGTCCTGCTTGACTGTTTTGATTTTTCCATCACAAGGGGTAAGTATTACGATGTCAATTCACATTTTATCATTGCATTTTTAAAAAGGATAGAATTGTAAGATACATGTTGGTATATGTTTTGTAAATAGATAAATGTTTTATAAATGGTAGTTTATATCATAAATTGAGATTGTTAGTATCTGTATGCTCAAATTAGGTTAAAGTACTGTAAAGTTATTGTCCTCCTGAGAGGGTACGTCCCAAAACATTCAAAGTACATTTAAACATATCATTTTATTTAACCGTAGACTATATGTTATTCTGATTTATGGCTAGATTGTATGATGTATGTATGTATATATGTATGTGTGAGTGTATGTATGTATGTATGTATGTATGTATGTATGTATGTATGTATGTATGTATGTATGTATGTATGTATGTATGTATGTATGTATGTATGTATGTATGTATGTATGTATGTATGTATGTGTGTGTGTGTGTGTGTGTGTGTGTGTGTGTATGTATGTATGTCTGTATGTCTGTATGTCTGTATGTATGTATGTATGCATGTATGTGTGTATGTAGAATATTAACTGGAGCAGAATCAGAAACACAAGGAAATACAGTTCAATTGAGTTATGGAAATATGAATTTTAAATTATTCAACTAATATCCTGTAAACAGTACTTACCGGGGAGTGGCGGTGTGGTAGCACCCTCACGCTGAAGGACCCACATGGATGCACAATGTTGAGCCCATTTACTGGTGTCTCCAGCAATAGCTGACTTACAGTAATCCAGTTAGGTTTTACACATTTATTTAACTCGCCACAACGCATGACGACACGTTTCTTTACAAATATCCAGTTTGAATTCAAATAACATTTGTCATCATGAACTGAATCATTGGGCAAGAAGAACGCAGATTCTCTAATGTTATCGACTATTTGAGCACAGGAGCTTAATTCCATATAAACAACAGCATAACTATGATACACTTTGTTAGAAACTTGTAAAAGCTGATGCTAGGGTTTACCCATTACCCTAAAGCAGCCGTTCAAGGGGAAGTCATGCAATTCTAAACTAATTTTGTGCGAGATAACTGGCACATGCATGGACAGGAATACCATTCATAAAGAAAACAGACAGGACCTTTTGTTAACAAGGATCACGATTGTCAGCTTGTGCTATAGGATTACCGAAACGCGGTGATAAGAACATGTGTCGGCAAAGTTTACCCTGCTGCTGCAAAGGCACCTGTCGCTTCAACAGATTGGATAAAAAGACAAGTAGCATTCATGTCTTGAGTTACGCATTCGTGTAATGCATTTCCAATTGAAAAATGGGTATCATACAAAGACCATGAACGCAGTATGTGGTAGATCTGGACATTAAACACAAGTCTCTCTTACCTCTCCTGTGCATTTCTATTGAATCAGAACTCCGTTGGCAGCATACAGCAAAACATCTTGAAACTTGATAGACAGATTTGAATATTTGCCATGTACCGTTGCCAATATTTTTAACAGTGCACTGCTACGAGTTACACTACTTGATAACACTTAAATGAAGATTTAATTACGTCATACATAGATGTGTGGAGAAAGTAAGATTTTTAAAATAATTATTCGAAATCATATGTTGTTTGGGACTAATTCTTCTCCGTGAATCACACATATAGGATCTCATTTCAATGCAATGGCGTGTGCCCTCAACAAACGACAATGTTGTCAAAATTGTTTTACAGGACACTCCAACACACTTACACGAGGTATAAGGCCATCTGGATTCTTTTCTGTGTTTCTCTGAAATTGCATTCCGACGTGAAAAATGACAACCTTTATCACCTCAATTTCCCCCAACCACGCTGGGGAATGTACGCCATCGTGTGATAAGTGAACACTTCAACACTCATAGACAAACAGGGAAGCTTAATATGTCTTCATTTATATTTTTTCAAGAAATGTTTTCCTCGCTTGTCTTCATGAATTAATTTATAGACTATTGTCTATTGATCTAAATTTAAAATCTTTTAAAGCAATTTATTCATTCATATATTCATTCGTTCGTTCATTCATTCCTCTTTTGCTTGTTGATGGCAGAGATGAGAAACACCAAATATTACGAAGAATCTGACACAAGTATGTGTCACACGTTGATCAAATTAGTACCAGGTCACTATTGCCGCTCTCACGTGCATCAGGTTACATTTATTATTTATACCTACACATATTTATCCGCCATATAGCTGGAATATTGTTCAGTGCGGCGTAAAACTAAATTCACGAACTCACTCACACATATTTAAAGCATTTACAGTGTGGTGAAACACAAAATCAGTATTGTATTTGGCCACGGCAGGAATCTGGATTACAGAGGTCCCTAGCGATCGATTACCTGTCGTAGGAGACAGTTATAGTGTGAGTGTTCAATAAGCAATCATTCACTCGGTCCTGTGATTGGCTGAATATCACATGATGTATATACTTGGTGAATTCGCCAATGCAACGTCATACACACGTTTAACGTGTATACTGCACTGTCCATATGTCATGTTACTATGTGATTACTGTGGGGATGAAATACTATCAACCTCAGAACGTGTAACAGTGTACTACAAGGATGAGGACGTGTGTTATGTGCCACAGGGCGGGCATTCACCAGAAGCTTATGAACAAGTAGCAGTGTGTGTGCAGGGTGATAATGTCATATTAGATCCCATATGCAGCGATCACTGCCCCGTATTTGTTAACATAGCAGAAATGATGCAGCACAAGAATTCATTCAAAAGGAAAATCTATGATTATTCTTCAATGGATGTTAATGGTATGAATAAAACTATCAAAGAGATAAACTCAGATATATTTTGCTCTTCGGGGAACGTAGATAATAACACTGAAAACCTTACATCCTTGTTATTGAATATCATGAATGAACATATTCCAAATAAAACTGTAACAATTAGAACCAAAGATCCCGCGTGGATGAATAACGAAATCCGATCCTTAATAAGAAAACGAAATCGTGTTCATAAGATTGCAAAAAACAGAAACCTTCCTGATGATTGGACTAAGTTCAGAACACTTCGGA